ACGCCGCCCCCCGCCAACCCCCCCCCCCCCACCCCCATTGCCATAGTGTATATAAGAGCCAGATCATGACACCACTTAGCATATTTCATTTCTAATAGGGGTCTGAAGGTATCTAACCGAAATCCGGGCCAGAGAGGACCCAAATAGGACCCGGATAGGAACCGGATAGCCTGATATTTACCAACTGTCATCTTTCTATTGTTAACAGCAAATTAACGCGGTGACCCCCTCCACTATTTCTGCCTCAAACTTCAGAACGAACAGAAAGACCCGATTCATCATTCACGGCTTCATCGACAAGGGCGAGGAGGGCTGGCTGACCGACATGTGCAAGGTGAGTGCGCAAACATCACGTGATCGGAGAGAAATGATTGATCAGAACTTCTGGTATCAGATAAACAGGAAGTATCTGTACTGATATCTTATGCATGTGCTGGTCGGCTGCCAATAATTGATGCATGTGCGGGGATCTGTCCGTCTCCTTTTATGACGGGTCGCTCTTTAGGTTTCGGGGGTCTTCAGGCCTTGTTGCAGTCTTAGTTAAATAGAGAATTTTTGTCTTATTGAAAAAAAAACTCTCAGCGAGACGCCAGCAGGGAGATGGACCCATAGAATTCTATGAGGCTGTAATGTGAAGGTGCGGCCAGCAGAGGGAGCAATGCATTGTGAAATGCTGAACTTTGCTGGTCGGATCTCAGTAAGTACAGATCTGCAGAGGGTTGGAACCAGGGCCGGATTTACTCTCCCTGCCGCCCCAAGGCCAGGTTCCGCAATACGCCCCCCACCCACCCCTTCCCATCAATGGGGAATGGCAACCAGATGGCAGGGTTAGTTTCAATTTTTTTTTTATTGCTTCTTTATTTTTTTTAAACTTTTTTAACACTTTTTATTTTTTTATTTCATTATTTCTTCCTATTTTTTAAATTTTCATTTATTTAATTATTTTTTAATCAATTTAGGTTTTTTTTAGATTTTTATTTATCTTATTTACTTTTTTTTATAATTTTTTTTCTCTTATTCTTGTTTATTTTTTATAATTATTTTCTTATTTTTTAATAATTTGTTTCTTATTATTTTTTACTTTTTAATCACCTTTTTATTTAATTATTTCATATTATCTTTTTTTTTTTAAATCAATGTCAATTTTTTCCCCCCAAACTAACTTTATTGCTATCACACAGGAGAAAAACAATCCCCTGCGTGATAGCAATTGCAGGTGGCAGGTTCTCTTTATTGACCCCGTCACCTCCAATACAGGAGTTCTAGCACAGGGCTGTGCTGGAACTCCTGTGACAGGTGAGAGAGGAAGAGCACGGCACGGCACAGCACAGCACAGCACGGCACGGCACAGCACAGCTCCCCCCTCTCACTGTCTACAC